TCTAGGGAGATGCGTGCGCGCTGCCCCAGCCTCCCTCCTACCGGCCCTTGGGCGGTGCCGTCCTCCCTGCGATTCGGCCCACGCACTTGCTCTCCTGGCTCCTCCAACCCGCGGTCAAAGTCAAGGCAGAGCCCGGGGTCTCGACAGGAAGCGGCCGCTGCCCGCGGTGCAGCCGGGTGGGCCCTGCGGCTCCCGACCTCCAAAGGAAAGAAAGCGGAGCAGAAAACGCAGACACTGGCCGTGGGGCTCGGACCGAGGGGATGGGAAGCTGAAGCCGGTATTCCTCCTTACCTCCCGGGGAACCTTGCCCCGTTAACTCTCCCTTCCGCGGTCCGGGAGCGGTGGGAGGGGACCCAGCCTATAGAAAATATACAAGGCTAACAAATGCACGCAGTGCCCTCTCTAAGCTCTTACCTCGTGATGGTTAGGTGCCTGGAAAATGTTTAATTAGCTAACGAGGTCGGGGGAGGGGCTTTCTTGGTTGGTAAATAAATTGCCTTCTCCGATGTTTCCGATCTTTGGAACAAGCAGAACAGCCACTGGCTCTTCTGCGGGAAATTCTCGAGAATGTGTTGCCCGCTGGGGGCCAGCTGGAGAAGCGGGGGAGTCCGTTCGCATTGACGGACGCAGCTCCGGCCAATCCGCGCTTGGAGAGGCGGTGCGCCTGACACCCGAAGCACCAATCACAGATTCCGATGGGAACGAGCCTCCCCACCACTGCAATTTCACTTGGCTGCCCCGGGAAGCAGCGCAGGGTAGAGCGACGTCGACTGGGGCCAATAGCAGCTCGCGGTGACATCCCACGCAACAAGGCCTTGGCGCACCGGCCAATGAGGAGGCGCCTCGGTGGTGGGTGGGGTCGGGATACGGTACCAAGTGAGGGTCGACCACCAGGAGCAGTGAGGGTGTCGCTAGGGCCGAAGGGGCGGTGGTTGTGACAACTAGAAAACCGAAAACGGAATGCTAATTCTTTGCCGGAGCAAGGGCGCTTGAAAGGCATCTGGTTCATTGTTATTATTTGAAAAATTCACAGTGCAGCGTTCTCCGTGAGAAGTCATCATGTGATCCCTTGGGAATGTCTCATTCATTCGACAAGCATTTGTTTATCTAGGATTTTTTTTTGTATGCCAGGGACTGTGCTAAGCACTGGAGATACAATCGTGGCTCAACTAAACATGATAGCTGCCTTATAAACAACAGGTAAGCAAGCAAATAAAAGAACAAATGTCAAGGAAGGAAATGAACAAAGTGTGGATATAGAGAATAAGAGGAGGTTGACATCAGATAGGGAGGGTTGTTATAAGATAATTTATAAGATAACATTTAAATGGAGACTGGACAAATAAGAAAGAATCAGTCCTGACACCATGAACGTGATGATTGTTCTGGGCAGAGAGAACAGCAGAGCAAAGGTCCTGAGGTGGAACAGCTTGACATTTTGGAAGCACAGAAAGAAGGCCACTGTGTCTCCAGTATAGAGTTAGGGGGGAGCAGTATGACATGAGATGGATGAGGTAGACAGAAATCAGACCATGTAACCATTAATTTTAAATTTAATGGGACTCTATTGCGGCATAAGGAAAGGAGTAAAAGGACCTGGTTAAGATTTTAAATCACTTTGGTTAATGGGTTGAGAACAGGTAGAACAGGCTATTAGGAGATGGGGTAGGAGATTATATCAGATGAGATGCCAGGGAGGAAATGACCTGGCTTAAACTACGGTGATATCTCTGGAGGTAGAAAAAAACAGAGAGATTGGAGATTTTAAAGATAAATTATTAGCTTTCTTTGACATGCTGGGATCTTGATTCTGAGACAACTGTTTTGAATCTAGTTCATTGAATACTCTGTTTAGAGAGTGATTCTCACACTGATGGCTCACAAATTCTAGTAATGATATTGAGGATTATTACATTGTGTTGAAATTCATATTTCATGGGTTTTCTGGAATTTTCTTTCTGTTTTTAACTATTTATTGAAATATTTTATGTGTATTTACATATGCAGAAAAGTACACATATCTCAAGTATATATAGCTCAATGAATTTTCACAATCTGAACGCACCTGTGTATATATCACACAGATCAAGCAACAGAACATTATTAACAGCCTGGGACCCCATCATACTGACTTTCAGTCATTGCCTATCCTGACTTTCAACACAGAATAGTTTTGCCTGTCTTTGTACTTGACATATATTTAGAGAACCATAAAGTATGCATTCTTTTGTGTTTGATTTCTTTAATCGGCTTTTTACTTATAAGTTTCTTCCATTCATTCATTTCATTCCATTCTGTAAATATACCACAATTTATGAATTCATTCTTCTGTTGGTCGTTAGGGTAGTTTCCAGTTTGGAACTATTAGAGATAGTGCTACTCTGAACATTCTAGTACATGTCTTTTAAATGATAGCCTTTTCTTTTGATGGAGCATTTTGATATCTGGGTTATAAATGCAATTAAGTTTTTTTAATCTGTTCATTAATAATGTAGTACCATGCATTGCAATGTCTTAAACATTTGGACCAAAGTTTGGTGCAGATAATGAAGGACTTTGCTCTCATAAATATGAAAACTTTTGGCAACAACAAGGAACTGTTAACATAGGAGTTTAAAACATTTTTATTATATTTGGCATTTTGACCTTTTTAAGTACTTGCAATCTGTATGTTTAGAGTTTGAGAACATCATGACTTTGCTACATCTTTTTGTTGTTGTTGTTGTTAATCCACACCCAGGATATTTTTCCATTGATTTTTTTTTTCTTAGAGAGAGAGAGTGGAAGGGAGAGGGACATAGAGAGAGAAACATCAGTGTGATGAGAGACACATCAATTGGTTGCCTCCTGCTTGAACCCCAACCAGGGCCAGGGATTGAGCCTGCCACCTGGACCAGAATCGAACCTGGGACACTTCAGCCCACAGGCCGATGCTCTATCCACTGAGCAAAACCAGTTAGGGCGCTACACCGTAAAAAAAAATTTTTTTTTAAATTTAGTTCAGAAAGAGGAAGGGAGAGAGGGATAGAAACATCAATGACGAGAAAGAATCATTGATCGGCTGCCTTCTGCACACCCTACTAGAGATCCAGCCCACAACCCAGTATGTACCCTGGTCTGGAATCGAATCTGGGACTCTTCAGTCCATAGACTGATGCTCTATCCACTGAGCCAAACCTGTTAAAGTGCTACATCTTTTTTAAAAAATTGTTTTATTTAGTTCAGAGAGAGGAAGGGAGAGGGAGATCCAGCCCACAACCCGGGCATGTGCTCTGACCAGGAACTGAACCATGACCTCCTGGTTCATGGGTCTACAATCAACCACAGAGCCACACAGGCCAGGCTGCTACATCTTTTACTATAATAGACTGTAATCCTCAGTCATATGCTAAGCAAGGTCCTAAGGATATGCATGTTTGATGCTAATACATTTTTTAAATTACATGTGGAAACCACATCATTCCACATTCTACCAGAGTTGATTGCAAAAGAAGTTTACTTCTTTTGAATGACATACGTCTGCTCTTTGAATCTCTGACGCAAGGCGAAATGTAGTACAAATGTACATCTGCTCAGCATGAGCGATCACACAATGTCCAAAAGAAATAAGTAAACACAATACTCCATGCCTTACTTAACCTGAGCTTTTTTTAATTTCACTTTATACTTCAAAGAATTGAACTATTTGATAATAGTGACTATCAGGAAATTATACCCACAATAGGTCATAAAGCTTTGGGTAGGTGCATGGCATAGGGGCTGGTAAAATAGGGACATTTGAGTCTTGAGTAAGCCGCTTGAGATTTAGGCTAATGAACTACCAAAATGAAATTGTTTAAATTAGCGTATTAAACATTTTAAGAGTTTATCTGAGCAGAAATCAATTGGAATTGGGCAGCAGTAAGCCAAAGGTGGTTAGGAGCACTGCACCAACAGGAGCCAGAAGGAAGGCTTTATAAAGATGCAAAAGCAAAGCAAAGAAGTTATTTGATTGGCTATGGCCTAAGTAGTTACCTTTGAAGAACAGAGTGAAAACATAAAATGGAGTCACTGTCGTCAAGCTGCTAAATTACTAAAATGAAGTAGCTTGAGGCATGAGGAAATGATTATATTCTTGTTTTAACTAGCCTGGAAACAAAACTTTTGAATTTTCTAGTCTTGTGTTAATGCTTAGATATATAACAACTCTTCTTTTTTTTTAAATATATTTTTACTGACTTCAGAGAGGAAGGGAGAGAGAGAAAGAGAAACATCAATGATGAGAGAGTCATTG